CCCATCACCACAACCCCACACCACTATTCAAATCTGGTAGAGTGGTTATAGATTTTATANGCAATGCATAACCCACTCCAGCAGCACTCTTTTCGCAAGTATCTCTCTTCACGATCTGCCATCACCACAACCCCACACCACTATTCAAATCTGGTAGAGTGGTTATAGATTTTATATCAAGTATTGAAGGGGCACTTTGTCACTTTGTGATCTGAATTTTTTTTTTTGACAGAAACGATAAACACACACACACAGGACCACTATAACACCACCACTTAGAAAATGGAAGTGTCATAGGGCCTTATANCTTTATATCAAATTAAGTTTTTTACTCAAACGTTAATTTAAATTTGAGTTATAGTTGAAGATGCTCTAAGGAGTAGTTATCTGTATAAGGATAATACTTATCCATATAAGTATATTTTTATCTGAATACNAGATTTTATATCAAGTATTGAAGGGGCACTTTGTCACTTTGTGATCTGAATTTTTTTTTTTGACAGAAACGATAAACACACACACACAGGACCACTATAACACCACCACTTAGAAAATGGAAGTGTCATAGGGCCTTATACACACACACAATCCCAAGGCTATCCGATGTGAGATAGCTCCAACCCCTCCGCAGCCAAGGTCATATGTTAGGCTAGGCCCACACAGGACGCGTGGGGCTGACGCACGCACACAAGTTCCTGATGCTTGTTTTGTTTTGAANTTTTGACAGAAACGATAAACACACACACACAGGACCACTATAACACCACCACTTAGAAAATGGAAGTGTCATAGGGCCTTATACACACACACAATCCCAAGGCTATCCGATGTGAGATAGCTCCAACCCCTCCGCAGCTAAGGTCATACGTTAGGCTAGGCCCACACAGGATGCGTGGGGCTGACGCACGCACACAAGTTCCTGATGCTTGTTTTGTTTTGACNTTATGTTCATAAGATTTGACCATAAATTTTAAAATTTAAATTAATGATCCACATTATTCTAGTTGTTCCCCAACAATTCTAAGTTTTTTCTTTTCCATCATGAATGAAGATGTTGCCACTGAAACTCCAACCGCTCTTTCCGTCCATACATCTCCGCCTACATCATTGGACTTAGTTTCCCCACCACCGTCAACAACGGTTACTCCCCCGAACGAAACCCTAACCAAAGCATTAATTCCTCTTCCTCCTACAATAGCAGTAATAGTTGAAACTCCTCTTCCACTCAACCTCTTAAAAACTCTCGCCGCTTCTCACCCTCATCCCACTTTTCACTTCTTATAATGGGTCGATCATTTGATGCTGCTGTTTCTAGTTGGTTGTTCGTGTATTTAGTTGGTTGATCGACAAGGTTTCGATTTAGTTGGTTATGTATTTTTGTAAAGAAGACGACGTTGTACCAATAAATTTTTTTTCCATATTACTATTTTTGTTTTGTTGTGCACTTGTGCATGTTACTACCTTTTTTTATGTTAATATTTTTTATTGAACATGTTACTATTTTTTTTATAAGCACGTTACTGTTAATATTGAATGTTACTATTTTTCTCGAAAATATAAATATTCAATGTTATTGTTTTTTGTTGAGTATGTTACTATTTTTTATTTGTAAATGTTACTATGTTTTTGTGTTTAAATTGTACTATATTTTGTGTTTAAATTATAGTATTTTTTGTATTTGAATGTTACTATTTTTTCTTTTTAATGTTAATAATAAATATTACTATTTTTCGAAAATATCAATATTCATTGTTACTATTTTTTATTGAGTATATTATTTCTATTGTTTTTTCAAATATTGATATACAATATTACTATTTTTTATTTTTAAATGATACTATTTTTTTTTGTTTAAATGTTATTTTTTTTTGAATGTTATTATTTTTTATTTTTAACTTTACTATATATATACACACACACACACATAGTCCTAACCTATATATATATATATATGAGAGAGAAAATTTTAATGTTAGTTTTTAATTTTTAGTTTTATTACACTTCTAAAGGAAATGAATAGTTTGGTAAAATTGATAAAAAAACAGACTTCATAGCAAATAAGTTTTCTTGCTGGACTTAAGTCCAAATAAGTGCGTACAGGGTGATTGACTTTCAAATTTCTCAAACATTTATTTAATTTGAGTCTATGCAATTTAAGCTCATTTTAATTTAATTTAACAAACCTAATTAATTATATTTGGTATTTTATTATTGCGGCTGTGAAATTTAGGTCCAACTTAAGCCTATTAAATAAAATTTAGGTCCAATTTATATTTATTTATCAAATTGATTTGAACCCAATTATAAACATTAATTTTTTAATGTCTACATAAGCTGCAAGGAAATTTAAGTTAAAGCACATGGCAGGTGGGTTCACACTTTTTTTGTACCTCTGTAGGTCTAAATCAAGATCTTCCAATATTTTTTCTTTTATTTTTTTTGAGAAATTATTCATCATTAATGAGCAAGAGACCCACTTGTATATAATAAACCTCACCTAAATACATTTAATCCACCAAACAAAAATAAAAAATTTATATAATAAAATAACTAGATTTTTGAACTTTACCAGAGATATATTTTTCCTCTCAAATTTCAGAAATTCAATACAAATACTCTATGACAGACATCTACACGCACTCTAACGCACAATCATATATATACATTCATATACTCTTTATATACACACTTTGGTCTTAGAAATGCAGATAGAAGGCGATGCATTATCTGCTTACGGTTCAAGTGCGGCGGCTTTGACCAAAGAGAAACCCTTGTTCTTGTTCTTGTTCTGGAACCGTACTCTCAGTAAGCGTATGGATTGAGGTCTAGGCACAGTTGACTTCCAGGAACTTCTACTTCCAGTCTTTCGGGCCAAGCGACAGGTCAATAGCGAGGGTAAGGATACATATACTCTAATATACGCTTAATATCATAACTTAGTATACAGTGGCTTCAACCACAAAGAGAAAATCTCACTACAAATCAAATGGTAGGGGATAAATAAAGTATCATGTTTGATAAAGAAGGAAAATAAAAAGGATGAAAAAGTGGATAAATTAACTTTTTTTCTAACTCACCAAAATCAATCCTTCCAAAATCAGAAGGAATGTAGATAAAAAGTTAATTATTTGTGTTGAGATGTATCTTATTTGTCTATATATCTTTTTATATATACATATATTATGTATACATTAATTTCATATAAAAATACAATGGTTAAATATGTATGTGTGTGTGTATATAAAATTTAAAAATAAATACATAAAAATTAAAAATTAAAAAAAAAAAATTCATCTTAATTAAGGGTGAAAATTTTCGACTGAACACGATGACACGACTCAAACTCGATATGAAAATAAACAGGTCAACTCGCAACTTAACATGACATAATTAATTAAATGATTTAAGTTAGATTTGACTAATATTCGATATAAACCCGTAATGATTCAACACGAATTTGATACGATACGACTCGATTGTCACTCCTAATCTTAGTCAGCACAAAAAAAAAATTGTTATTTTTATTTTACATCCATCCAACCAAACACAAATGAAGGAAAGTGTATTATTCCTACTTTCCATCCTTGAAGGATAGAAAATATATCCCTCTTACTTTTCATCCTCTCTACCAAACGGAGTATCAATGTCAGACACCTTATCTCTCTCTATTAAGCCATCTCCACCGACTCCACCATCAACCCAGCGACACCGCTACCCACCCGCCTCACTTTGGCAATGCATAACCCACTCCAGCAGCACTCTTTTCGCAAGTATCTCTCTTCACGATCTCCCATCACCACAACCCCACACCACTATTCAAATCTGGTAGAGTGGTTATAGATTTTATATCAAGTATTGAAGGGGCACTTTGTCACTTTGTGATCTGAATTTTTTTTTTTGACAGAAACGATAAACACACACACACAGGACCACTATAACACCACCACTTAGAAAATGGAAGTGTCATAGGGCCTTATACACACACACAATCCCAAGGCTATCCGATGTGAGATAGCTCCAACCCCTCCGCAGCCAAGGTCATATGTTAGGCTAGGCCCACACAGGACGCGTGGGGCTGACGCACGCACACAAGTTCCTGATGCTTGTTTTGTTTTGAAAAAAACGATAAACACACACACACAAGACCACTACAACACCACCATTTAGAAAGTAAGAGTGTTATAGGGCCTTATACACACACAACCCCAAGGCTGATTTGGATGGTCATATGATGGTCTTGGAGTTTCTGATGGGATAGATAGTTTGTATATTTTGTGGTTGCAAAGGAAGAGGGTGGTTGTTTCAATGCCTCTAAAAAGTGTTTGAATTCTCATGATTACATAAAAGAGTTCATCGGTTATAATAGGCTATGTTTTTCTTATTTCCCAAGTCATTTTTTAAAGGACGTTGCACAATTTGGACATGAGAAGCTCCTGGTTCAATAAATTGTCTTTCATTTTCAGCCCTATGCCACCTCTCAATTGTTTACTCTTATGTCTTGTTAGTATTTTAGTTCTAATTGCATTATTGTTATCGTGTGCTTCAAGTGCATTTGAATCTGACTTCCAATATGACCCCAACCATAAACAATGGAGGAGTGAATCTAAAACCTAAAAAGTGATCCCAAAAAATGAGTGCAATTTAAAAGTTGGTATGTTCGACCCAAACAATGGTGTAAATACCTAAAAATAAGGGTGGAGTTATTCTCATCCCACAAATCTTTGTTTTCACCTCCATTAAACTCTAAATCATAAAACTACTAACTCCACCCCTTCTATATTCACCCCACTAGTAACTAAATCCACTTCATTCTATATACACCCCATTAATAAATAAATTCATCTCAATCTTCAACTTTAGTGCTTGTTTCTATACCTCATTAGGGCACTGATATTTCCAAAGGAGGAGGAAGAGATGCTCATAAACAGGAGGAAATCAAACAATACTACAGATCCTTCCTATGGAGTTTGATTTTTACAATTTCAGTATTCTTAACCTCCATGGTCCTTATGTATATCCTTGGAATTCAGCATGTATTGGATACCAAAGTGGTCAATATGCTGAGTATTGGAGAGCTTTTGAGGTGGATACTATCTACTCCAATGCAGTTCATCATTGGCCGACGATTCTACACTGGTACTTACAAAGCATTGCGCCAGGGCTCTGCAAATATGGACGTCTTGATTGCCTTGGAAAAAAATATAGCAGCCTACTTCTATTACGTCTATTTTGTGTTGAGAGCTGCTAGGTCTCCAAATTTTAAGGCCACTAATTGTTTTTTGAGACTAGCTCAATTCTCATTGCATTCATTCTACTAGGCAAATATCTGGAGGTTTTGGCCAAGGGGAAGACATTTGAGGTTGATGGGACACTTCAGAGAGTCAGTNCTTTTATTTTTTTTGAGAAATTATTCATCATTAATGAGCAAGAGACCCACTTGTATACAATAAACCTCACCTAAATACATTTAATCCACCAAACAAAAATAAAAAAATTTATATAATAAAATAACTAGATTTTTTAACTTTACCAGAGATATATTTTCTCTCTCAAATTTCAGAAATTCAATACAAATACTCTATGACAGACATCTACACGCACTCTAACGCACAATCATATATATACATTCATATACTCTTTATATACACACTTTGGTCTTAGAAATGCAGATAGAAGGCGATGCATTATCTGCTTACGGTTCAAGTGCGGCGGCTTTGACCAAAGAGAAACCCTTGTTCTTGTTCTTGTTCTGGAACCGTACTCTCAGTAAGCGTATGGATTGAGGTCTAGGCACAGTTGACTTCCAGGAACTTCTACTTCCAGTCTTTCGGGCCAAGCGACAGGTCAATAGCGAGGGTAAGGATACATATACTCTAATATACGCTTAATATCATAACTTAGTATACAGTGGCTTCAACCACAAAGAGAAAATCTCACTACAAATCAAATGGTAGGGGATAAATAAAGTATCATGTTTGATAAAGAAGGAAAATAAAAAGGATGAAAAAGTGGATAAATTAACTTTTTTTCTAACTCACCAAAATCAATCCTTCCAAAATCAGAAGGAATGTAGATAAAAAGTTAATTATTTGTGTTGAGATGTATCTTATTTGTCTATATATCTTTTTATATATACATATATTATGTATACATTAATTTCATATAAAAATACAATGGTTAAATATGTATGTGTGTGTGTATATAAAATTTAAAAATAAATACATAAAAATTAAAAATTAAAAAAAAAAAATTCATCTTAATTAAGGGTGAAAATTTTCGACTGAACACGATGACACGACTCAAACTCGATATGAAAATAAACAGGTCAACTCGCAACTTAACATGACATAATTAATTAAATGATTTAAGTTAGATTTGACTAATATTCGATATAAACCCGTAATGATTCAACACGAATTTGATACGATACGACTCGATTGTCACTCCTAATCTTAGTCAGCACAAAAAAAAAATTGTTATTTTTATTTTACATCCATCCAACCAAACACAAATGAAGGAAAGTGTATTATTCCTACTTTCCATCCTTGAAGGATAGAAAATATATCCCTCTTACTTTTCATCCTCTCTACCAAACGGAGTATCAATGTCAGACACCTTATCTCTCTCTATTAAGCCATCTCCACCGACTCCACCATCAACCCAGCGACACCGCTACCCACCCGCCTCACTTTGGCAATGCATAACCCACTCCAGCAGCACTCTTTTCGCAAGTATCTCTCTTCACGATCTCCCATCACCACAACCCCACACCACTATTCAAATCTGGTAGAGTGGTTATAGATTTTATATCAAGTATTGAAGGGGCACTTTGTCACTTTGTGATCTGAATTTTTTTTTTTGACAGAAACGATAAACACACACACACAGGACCACTATAACACCACCACTTAGAAAATGGAAGTGTCATAGGGCCTTATACACACACACAATCCCAAGGCTATCCGATGTGAGATAGCTCCAACCCCTCCGCAGCCAAGGTCATATGTTAGGCTAGGCCCACACAGGACGCGTGGGGCTGACGCACGCACACAAGTTCCTGATGCTTGTTTTGTTTTGAAAAAAACGATAAACACACACACACAAGACCACTACAACACCACCATTTAGAAAGTAAGAGTGTTATAGGGCCTTATACACACACAACCCCAAGGCTGATTTGGATGGTCATATGATGGTCTTGGAGTTTCTGATGGGATAGATAGTTTGTATATTTTGTGGTTGCAAAGGAAGAGGGTGGTTGTTTCAATGCCTCTAAAAAGTGTTTGAATTCTCATGATTACATAAAAGAGTTCATCGGTTATAATAGGCTATGTTTTTCTTATTTCCCAAGTCATTTTTTAAAGGACGTTGCACAATTTGGACATGAGAAGCTCCTGGTTCAATAAATTGTCTTTCATTTTCAGCCCTATGCCACCTCTCAATTGTTTACTCTTATGTCTTGTTAGTATTTTAGTTCTAATTGCATTATTGTTATCGTGTGCTTCAAGTGCATTTGAATCTGACTTCCAATATGACCCCAACCATAAACAATGGAGGAGTGAATCTAAAACCTAAAAAGTGATCCCAAAAAATGAGTGCAATTTAAAAGTTGGTATGTTCGACCCAAACAATGGTGTAAATACCTAAAAATAAGGGTGGAGTTATTCTCATCCCACAAATCTTTGTTTTCACCTCCATTAAACTCTAAATCATAAAACTACTAACTCCACCCCTTCTATATTCACCCCACTAGTAACTAAATCCACTTCATTCTATATACACCCCATTAATAAATAAATTCATCTCAATCTTCAACTTTAGTGCTTGTTTCTATACCTCATTAGGGCACTGATATTTCCAAAGGAGGAGGAAGAGATGCTCATAAACAGGAGGAAATCAAACAATACTACAGATCCTTCCTATGGAGTTTGATTTTTACAATTTCAGTATTCTTAACCTCCATGGTCCTTATGTATATCCTTGGAATTCAGCATGTATTGGATACCAAAGAGGTCAATATGCTGAGTATTGGAGAGCTTTTGAGGTGGATACTATCTACTCCAATGCAGTTCATCATTGGCCGACGATTCTACACTGGTACTTACAAAGCATTGCGCCAGGGCTCTGCAAATATGGACGTCTTGATTGCCTTGGAAAAAAATATAGCAGCCTACTTCTATTACGTCTATTTTGTGTTGAGAGCTGCTAGGTCTCCAAATTTTAAGGCCACTAATTGTTTTTTGAGACTAGCTCAATTCTCATTGCATTCATTCTACTAGGCAAATATCTGGAGGTTTTGGCCAAGGGGAAGACATTTGAGGTTGATGGGACACTTCAGAGAGTCAGTTAATAGTCGACATGTGTCTTCGGCACCAGAAACATGGAGGCACAGAAGACTGACACGCGTTCTCGACAAACATCCCCCTCGGAGCATTGTTATTAACACAAGTGTCCTTGGCCTAAGAGATCTCTCAGACCTATATGTGTGGACACGTGTCCTCAGCACCAATGTTCCCTTGGCGTCATCTGCGAGTGACACGTGTTCGCTGCNTATACTCTTTATATACACACTTTGGTCTTAGAAATGCAGATAGAAGGCGATGCATTAACTGCTTACGGTTCAAGTGCGGCGGCTTTGACCAAAGAGAAACCCTTGTTCTTGTTCTGGAACCGTACTCTCAGTAAGCGTATGGATTGAGGTCTACNGCGTCATCTGCGAGTGACACGTGTTCGCTGCATAAATGATTCTATAGAATCCCTGCAAGCGACAATTGTCCTCGGCGTGATTGACTCCCTCGAGGTATATTTCTGAACACGTCACCTCGGCTCCAAGACCTCGAAGCAGAGGTGTCAAAATGATGACTATCGTTATTTGGAGTTAAACTTAGTCAATAATCATTAACTTGCCTTCCAAAAGCAGATAGGTTGACGGGTTTGTAACCAATGACAATATTACACATGGCACAGAGCACATAATTAGAGGTCAATTGAGAAAGATGCCCTCGCTTGTGGCAGTCATCCCAAAGAAGTATTAAATGACCGCCCATGTNTCGGGCCAAGCGACAGGTCAATAGCGAGGGTAAGGATACATATACTCTAATATACGCATAATATCATAACTTAGTATACAGTGACTTCAACCACAAGAAGAAAATCTCACTACAAATCAAATGATAGGGGATAAATAAAGTATCATGTTTGATAAAGAAGGAAAGTAAAAAGGATGAAAAAGTTGATAAATTAACTTTTTTTCTAACTCACCAAAATCAATCCTTCCAAAATCAGAAGGAATATAGATAAAAAGTTAATTATTTGTGTTGAGATGTATCTTATTTGTCTATATATCTTTTTATATATACATATATTATGTATACATTAATTTCATATAAAAATACAATGGTTAAATATGTATGTGTGTGTGTATATAAAATTTAAAAATAAATACATAAAAATTTAAAATTTTTAAAAAAAAATTTATCTTAATTAAGGGTGAAAATTTTCGACTGAACACGATGACACGACTCAAACTCGATATGAAAATAAACAGGTCAATTCGCAACTTAACATGACACAATTAATTAAATGATTTAAGTTAGATTTGACTAATATTCGATATAAACCCGTTATGATTCAACACGAATCTGATACGATACGACTCGAGTGTCACCCCTAATCTTAGTCAGCACAAAAAAAAATTGTCATTTTTATTTTTCATCCATCCAACCAAACACAAATGAAGGAAAGTGTATTATTCCTACTTTCCATCCTTGAAGGATAGAAAATATATCCCTCTTACTTTTCGTCCTCTCTACGAAACGGAGTATCAATGTCAGACACCTTATCTCTCTCTATTAAGCCATCTCCACCGACTCCACCATCAACCCAGCGACACCGCTACCCACCCGCCTCACTTTGGCAATGCATAACCCACTCCAGCAGCACTCTTTTCGCAAGTATCTCTCTTCACGATCTCCCATCACCACAACCCCACACCACTATTCAAATCTGGTAGAGTGGTTATAGATTTTATATCAAGTATTGAAGGGGCACTTTGTCACTTTGTGATCTGAATTTTTTTTTTTGACAGAAACGATAAACACACACACACAGGACCACTATAACACCACCACTTAGAAAATGGAAGTGTCATAGGGCCTTATACACACACACAATCCCAAGGCTATCCGATGTGAGATAGCTCCAACCCCTCCGCAGCTAAGGTCATATGTTAGGCTAGGCCCACACAGGACGCGTGGGGCTGACGCACGCACACAAGTTCCTGATGCTTGTTTTGTTTTGAAAAAAACGATAAACACACACACACAAGACCACTACAACACCACCATTTAGAAAGTAAGAGTGTTATAGGGCCTTATACACACACAACCCCAAGGCTGATTTGGATGGTCATATGATGGTCTTGGAGTTTCTGATGGGATAGATAGTTTGTATATTTTGTGGTTGCAAAGGAAGAGGGTGGTTGTTTCAATGCCTCTAAAAAGTGTTTGAATTCTCATGATTACATAAAAGAGTTCATCGGTTATGATAGGCTATGTTTTTCTTATTTCCCAAGTCATTTTTTAAAGGACGTTGCACAATTTGGACATGAGAAGCTCCTGGTTCAATAAATTGTCTTTCATTTTCAGCCCTATGCCACCTCTCAATTGTTTACTCTTATGTCTTGTTAGTATTTTAGTTCTAATTGCATTATTGTTATCGTGTGCTTCAAGTGCATTTGAATCTGACTTCCAATATGACCCCAACCATAAACAATGGAGGAGTGAATCTAAAACCTAAAAAGTGATCCCAAAAAATGAGTGCAATTTAAAAGTTGGTATGTTCGACCCAAACAATGGTGTAAATACCTAAAAATAAGGGTGGAGTTATTCTCATCCCACAAATCTTTGTTTTCACCTCCATTAAACTCTAAATCATAATACTACTAACTCCACCCCTTCTATATTCACCCCACTAGTAACTAAATCCACTTCATTCTATATACACCCCATTAATAAATAAATTCATCTCAATCTTCAACTTTAGTGCTTGTTTCTATACCTCATTAGGGCACTGATATTTCCAAAGGAGGAGGAAGAGATGCTCATAAACAGGAGGAAATCAAACAATACTACAGATCCTTCCTATGGAGTTTGATTTTTACAATTTCAGTATTCTTAACCTCCATGGTCCTTATGTATATCCTTGGAATTCAGCATGTATTGGATACCAAAGTGGTCAATATGCTGAGTATTGGAGAGCTTTTGAGGTGGATACTATCTACTCCAATGCAGTTCATCATTGGCCGACGATTCTACACTGGTACTTACAAAGCATTGCGCCAGGGCTCTGCAAATATGGACGTCTTGATTGCCTTGGAAAAAAATATAGCAGCCTACTTCTATTACGTCTATTTTGTGTTGAGAGCTGCTAGGTCTCCAAATTTTAAGGCCACTAATTGTTTTTTGAGACTAGCTCAATTCTCATTGCATTCATTCTACTAGGCAAATATCTGGAGGTTTTGGCCAAGGGGAAGACATTTGAGGTTGATGGGACACTTCAGAGAGTCAGTTAATAGTCGACATGTGTCTTCGGCACCAGAAACATGGAGGCACAGAAGACTGACACGCGTTCTCGACAAACATCCCCCTCGGAGCATTGTTATTAACACAAGTGTCCTTGGCCTGAGAGATCTCTCAGACCTATATGTGTGGACATGTGTCCTCAGCACCAATGTTCCCTTGGCGTCATCTGCGAGTGACACTTGTTCGCTGTATAAATGATTCTATAGAATCCCTGCAAGCGACAATTGTCCTCGGCGTGATTGACTCCCTCGAGGTATATTTCTGAACACGTCACCTCGGCTCCAAGACCTCGAAGCAGAGGTGTCAAAATGATGACTATCGTTATTTGGAGTTAAACTTAGTCAATAATCATTAACTTGCCTTCCAAAAGCAGATAGGTTGACGGGTTTGTAACCAATGACAATATTACACATGGCACAGAGCACATAATTAGAGGTCAATTGAGAAAGATGCCCTCGCTTGTGGCAGTCGTCCCAAAGAAGTATTAAATGACCGCCCATGTGATGGGACACATTTATGGCTCGACGGACTCCGAAATAAGCGCATTAACTTCTTGGGGGCCTGAGCATTAAATGTGATAGCCCCTTTCGTGCAATAAGGGGGACACTCTACCCAAGGATTGCGCCCTACAGACTGTTCCCCCAAAGGGAGGCTTTATTTTCGGGGGGAACCATATGTCCGTAATGATTGCTTCCATGAATGTATAAGTAGTTCTAAAAAATGTAAGGCAAAGGTACGAAAAACCTCACTCAGCAATACAACAGTGTTTTCACCCTTCTTTCATACATATTGCCTTGACCATCGGAAGGGTCACGCCGAATAAAACTTTGGCGTCCTTCTAACCCTCTTTTTTGAGTGGCAGATTTCTTCTCGACTTGCTAGAATTGCGTGGACAACTAGAAAGGTAATTCATCACCACTCCTTAGGTTCTTTCTCATTCCCTCTTGCCTCAGGATCCTCAATTTTTAGGTGAATCCCGTGTTCACCAGAGGAGAGATTTGTCTTTTTTGTTTATTGTGCGAAAGTCAGCACGCATAGAGGCCATTACCATTAATGAGGTTGTGTGAGAAGAGATACAGGAGGAAAAAAATGCTAAAGGTGAAGATTGAGTAAGTCATTAATAGGATGTGATATAGAATAGGCTGAACCTAGTTACTTGTGAGATGAGTATAGAAAGGATGAAATTAGTACTTTTATGATTTAAAATTTAATAAGTTAAGAATAGAGATTTATGAGGGTGAGAATCACCCCCGCCCAAAAAATAATAAGTGAAATGTAGAACAAAAAAATCAGTATGGTAGTCAAACCCAAAATTAGGGTAAATTGTACCAATAATTCCTGAGGTTTACCACTTATTACATTTTGGTCATTAAAATTTCAATTTCGTCAATTTTATCCAAATAGTTCAAATATTGAGTTAATGTAGTTCTTGGCACTAACTGCCATTAAAATAAAAAGACAAAAATTACCATGTGCATGTGCCGTGCATCTCTTTAAGGACATTTTTGGTATTTTACAACAATGTAGGCATCCAAACACCTTTATTTCTTTTTTGTATATGTTAAACATGAATCCAAACATCTATCCTCTTCTTCCTTATTCATTTTTCTCCCCCTTCCTTCACACCCACCACATCATTTTTTCTCACTCAATCTCTCTCTCCATTTTTTCTTCACTGTGTAAGTTTATGCATCTTCTTTCTCTTCCTCTCCCCCCTATTTCGTCTTTGCTCCCCTGCCCCTCAAACCCATAAATCCCCCCGGTTTCTCTCTCTCTCTAATTCATCTATGTTTGTCCCTCTCCCTCAAACCCATAAATCCCTATGTCTGTGTCTCTTTGTTTCTCCAATTCTTGTGTTTCTCCTCAAACCAAACACAACCTCCCTCTCTCAAACCATAACATCCATACAATAGCACATAACACAAATCCATAACAATTTGAAAGAACCGTGAAATTAGGGTTTCGAGGAACAATCAGCCAAACAACTGGTGTGATGACTCTTGCAGATCGATAACAATCGTTCTCGGAGCTCTGATACTTCAATTTGACGGCGAAACTTTCTCTGAACCGTGTAGTTTACGATCGTTGAAGGTTTGAACGAAGATGGGTGAGATCGATAGAGATAGAGTTCGGAGACGAGATAAAGTGGTGAAGAAGGAGAGGTGAGAGAGAGAGAGAGAGAGAGAGAGAGAGAGAGAGAAAGAGAGAGAGAGTGCGATAGAGACATCACTTGGGTTGAGTGATCATTGCCCGTGGATTGGCCGTTGTTGGCGGTCGATTCCAGCGGTGGTTGATGGTGGTGGTCGATTTCAGCAGTGAAGTCTTGCACCGAGAGAGAGAGAGATGGGGTTGGAGAGGGAGAGGGAGAGAGTATAATATTTTTGAGAGAATTACACTTAAACTCTTCAAGGTTCGTAACTTAATCACATATATTCTTGATATTTGAAATATTACATATAGACTCATTAAGATTTGTAAACGTGTAACACTTAGATCGTGTAGTAAATATATCTGTTAATAAATTACGCTTAAATCCCTTGGGGCTAGTTTGTTTCAAGGATTATTTATGGGTGGTACTAACAATTATATCCATTTCACTCCAACCCCATGGGATACTATGCCTAGTCTTAAATTTTTATCCCTTCTTTCCTTTTGTTTGTTTCCTACACAAATTATTTTGTGATACCTATATCAAAAGGTGTGTCAAATGAACTATTTAATATAAAAAGACAATTATAACCTTATTGTCCAAAGTAATCCATGCCCTTGTTTGTTATTACAACCACCTGTGCATGACACTTACCCAAAACTTTTTTTTTGTTGTTCCACGTTGGTTGCATGCACTATTCAAGGGAAGTGTCTCCCAGGTATAACACACACACACACACATATACACACACACAACAGGCACCACACAACACACAATACACATAGACGAAAATATTATACACGCACAAAAATTCCAATAACAATGGAATACCACCAAAATTCCATCAATGATGGAGTTACAACAACAATTCCAGTGCAAGTAGTTAAGCGCCAGGGAAAAAAATGGAATTCCAGCAACAATTCCAACAAAATGGAGCTAAGAGCCACAAAAAAAATGGAATTCCAGCAATAATGGAGTTCCAGCAACAATTCCGGCAACAAATAAAACAAAATTCTAGCAAAATGGAGCTAAGAGTTAGCAAAAAAAAAAATGGAATTCCAGCAAGTTTCCCCCAACAATTCTATCTACAATAGAATTCCAGAAGTAAAATTCCAGCACTATAGTTAAAGACTTCCTACCTTAACAATCTAGACATAATTTCTACCACACTACACACAACACTGTCATTCCCTTTAAATCAAAACAAAATGAATGCACAACATATCAACATATACACTGCATCAAAAGATTTCAACTGCCACTAAATATAAGATACCAGTGCAAGGAGCTAAGAGCCACAAAATAGCATTAACAACTGTCTCCACAAGCAATTTTACAAACATCCACCGTAAACTTTGTTACATACATAATATAAACAGGTCAATGGAAGTCTCAAAAGATGAAACTCCCCAGGACTCTTGAACAGCAACTACTACCACACGCAGTCATACCCAAAAACCAAAATAGCATGTGGAAAGCATAGTGTACATACAATCATACTCTGACAGGAACTAAGCTTAATCAGAAATATCGATAATCTCTATGTCTTCTACTGGATCACCACCCGAACAAGAGCCCACACTTTCAATCAGCTCTTCTGGGGACACGTTGTCAAAAACCTTCATCATTTTCTCGAACAAAGGACATGGATCAATGTAATGTATTCTTGCAAACTTGTTTGCCTGCAAGTTAATGATAGTTAAACACATCATGAATTCAATCGAATGTGAAAACTGAATTAAACAAAGAGGCATAAGATGATATTCATTAATATAGTTTTGAATTAAACACTTACCAGTAGGTAGTCACGCGCTCCAGCGAACGGCCCTTCGACGACGCACAAGTTTACCGAGTCCTAAGCAAACATCCTCGTCTTCAACATAGCCTTGATAGTGAAGTATTTTTTCTTCCAAAAAAAAATAATCTTGACAAGGTCAATTTGATCAATGCAAATTGCAGGCAGTCTCCTTTTCACCCGCATTACTAAATCCTTGAAGTGTTGGGCTGTCATGCTGCCTCGTTCAGGCACTATGCCTCATTGTTTGTTTCAAAGCAACAACGCCATCAACACTTCACTTTTCGCAGCACTAATTCGAGGAACCGACATTTTCTACATAATATTGTGCAAACCAAATGCACAAATCATTGACACACCACCAATTTATACAAATTCATTCAACAATACAATCATATCATAACACCAAAATCAATTACAATAGATATCCATTCATAATGTTACCTATATTCATACATTCTCCAATTAATGTCAAAACATAGCAGGTAACATTACAAACACTAACCATAAATATTGTCCAAAATAACCACACATAATACAAACATAGTTCCAGAAAGTTTACACAGGAAAAAGTNAACACCAAAATCAATTACAATAGATATCCATTCATAATGTTACCTATATTCATACATTCTCCAATTAATGTCAAAACATAGCAGGTAACATTACAAACATTAACCATAAATATTGTCCAAAATAACCACACATAATACAAACATAGTTCCAGAAAGTTTACACAGGAAAAAGTAAAAAATATGGATTATTACCATACCCAAAACAAACATCACACCATACATGAGATAGTTACCGACATTATGGTTTCCATCGCCCTCGGCATCGCGCCAAACAACTACCGGGGCTGCTAGAGGAATGTCCATTGCATCTTCTACACGAAGATTAGGCAGAGTNCACACCATACATGAGATAGTTACCGACATTATGGTTTCCATCGCCCTCGGCATCGCGCCCAACAACTACCGGGGTTGCTAGAGGAATGTCCATTGCATCTTCTACACGAAGNCCACAAGCAATTTTACAAACATCCACCGTAAACTTTGTTACATACATAATATAAACAGGTCAATGGAAGTCTCAAAAGATGAAACTCCCCAGGACTCTTGAACAGCAACTACTACCACACGCAGTCATACCCAAAAACCAAAATAGCATGTGGAAAGCATAGTGTACATACAATCATACTCTGACAGGAACTAAGCTTAATCAGAAATATCGATAATCTCTATGTCTTCTANTTGATGGACATCCACTTCACATTCATGTTGGACATCTCTTACTACATCTTCATTCTCAATGTATGTGCACAATGCGTTTTCAGCCTCATCGTGCGAATCATAAGACTTGTACAATGCACTCGGGTACCTATTCACTTGCACATGACATTCATGCCATGTTGTATATACACCAACTTGTCTTCCAACAAACACGACGTAAAAACGTGTTGTCCTATGCATCACTTGTGTAACTAAACACATGTTAGTACATTTCTATGCAAGTGCATACCAATAAAAGGCAAGTGTTAATAAACATCACTTCATTATGCAAGTACATTTAAGTTGTTCAAACTTCATAAAAAATAACACCCAAACATACTAGACCATATTTTACATACGGACATAGGTGAACAAGCAAAAAAAGTGGACCACTTTCACCTATATCACGTCAAAAAAACAAAATACCATACTTAACCCTACACATGTTGGTAGCTCAATCCGTACAACAACTTCCTTACCCAAGACGACTTTGATGCGTCAGACAAGCTAAAGAACAAGTCCACCTTAACCGGATCAGAAACAATTCTGTAACCAACCTCATATAGTAGATCCTCATCAAGCCACCCAATTTTCTCAAGCTCAACAAAGATTCTTCTTCTCGATTTAGAAATATCTTGGGCATGGCCTACCCTATGTGCAATATTATCAATCTTATGACCACAAGTAGCAACATACTCACCTAAGACCCTTGTCATATCACCCAAGCTACATGCAATGAACTCGGCAGCTGTCGAAGCCTTTTTCTTTTTCGTCTTTTTGGTAGTTGGAGTGTCTGTGGAAACATCCATGCCTTGAATTGTACTATGACTTGCACCATTTTTCTCATTTTCATTGTTAATTCCTATCGGGTAAATTTCATGCTCTGCTTCCTCATTGTCATTCCCTCCAATTATTTCATCAAGATCCTTCGCAAATTCACCTGTTGCACGATCCTTGCCAAAAATAATTCCCCAGTCTTTATAGTATGGCCAACATTTTTCACGCATCCCCTTAGCCTACTTATCCTTCTACAACAACCATACCACCAAAGAACATGCCTCAAATAAGTGGAATACTAAAAATAACAAAACAACTCTATTAATTATAAAGTGCTATATAAAAAAAAATACCTTTAAATACTCATCCCAAACATCATCCGAATCAACCTCAATTTTGTTATCAGTGTCATTAAACCCAAAATCACTCGTGTTCATCATAGAAAATATACAATTATATTGCCTCTTCCACATTTTTATCTTTGACTCAATGTGTGGTTGTGCACGAAGTGTACTGTTGCCAATTCTTTGTTCTAGCATTTGCAAATAACCTGGCCTGAATATACCATTAGGAGACTTTAACCCTGCTATAAATAGATCCTTCAGTGCNTTCATCATAGAAAATATACAATTATATTGCCTCTTCCACATTTTTATCTTTGACTCAATGTGTGGTTGTGCACGAAGTGTACTGTTGCCAATTCTTTGTTCTAGCATTTGCAGATAACCTGGCCTGAATATACCATTAGGACACTTTAACCCTGCTATACATAGATCCTTCAGTGCGTCTAATAGTTGTGTCTCTTCCATACTTGTCCATGTTCGCCTGGTACTTTTTTCCACTTGCGGACCACTCATGTAATGCGAGCTGCCAACACTAACCATATTCCATATCAGTCTCAAGTGAATATTGGAAAGTTAAATCAATTATAATACGACAAATATCGAATATATTGCATTGTAACACCACCAAATAAATTGTATTACATAACAGTCAGGACAACCATTAATCAAACCAAACGAAGTATCAATAACACATTACAAACATATAAGTCATTTAGTCTACTAATTAAAAGTCGCAAAATAACCTCCTCCCCCCCCCCCCAAATTCATCTACCTATCCACCATGCCTCGTACATTTCATTCGCCAACTGAGTCCTCCAAGCAGTCCGCGCAGTAGAGGTCTCAACACTATCAACTACATTGGTGTTGTCATCGTCCTCATTAAGAACATACTTGGGTACGTGGTCTTCCAATGGGTCAACTGACATCTCATTTTCAATGAAATTATGTAACAGACAACAAGCAGCAATAATTCTATTATGTGTGGGAACTGGGTAGAAACAGGCAGTTTGAAGAATTGCCCATCGCATCTTGAGGAGAGCAAAACACCTCTCAATAAAATTCCTGGTAGATGAATGTTTTAGGTTAAAATATTCCTCGGCATTACGAGGAGCTTCCCTTCCATTTCCAAATTTGTCAAGATGGTATCGTTGACCCCTAAAAGGAGCTAAGAAACCCTCACCATTGGTGTAACCAGCATCACATAAATAATATGTGCCTGTCGTAATTGTGTATATACTCATTAGTAAATAATTTCTAAAAAAATAAAAACTAATGCTAAAAATTTTCACTATAGCTTACCCCGTTGAACACGTAACCCAGTACATCTTGTAATTGCATCCCGAAGGACTCTTGAATCTGCCGCTAATTCCACCCAACCAGGCAAAACATAAATGATTTTCATGTCAGGTGCACAAACACCTAACACATTTGTTGCAATTTGCCCCTTCCTTGTCCTATATCTTGCTTGGTGCACAAGTGGCACTTTTGCTCTAATGTGAGTGTCGTCTAAAGCCCCAACACAGTTCTATGCAATATGAAATAAACATATTATCAACTGATTTTCGTTAAGTACATACTATGTGATGTGACAACTCAAATGTAGATCTACTTTAAAAAAACTTAGAATATCTTAAAAAACTTCCACTTCGGGTCAGTGCATTCATCTGTGATTGGATCAGGGACTGCAAGCAGTAATCGACGTAGCCTAAGAACCGCCAACAGCACTACATTGAAATACTTGCTAACCGTCTCACCAGATCTAATGAAACTGAATTTGACTGGTTTATTCTTATGATCATGACTAATAACGCTCAAGAACATAGCTACCATCTCTTCAATGCTAACATTCCTTGTATGACTAAGCCCACCAACATGTTCAACTAATGTGCACAATATAGAAAAACATCGTCGGTCCATCCTAAGTTGATTGTAGCATGTTATATCATTTTCACCTATCAATCTATTAAGATGCTCTATTTGCATTCGGGTTCGCTTGACTGAGTTTGGGATCCTATTGTTGTTTTGAATGTTATGAAATTCCAACAAATTTGCAATCACAGCAATCAGACATGAACATATCATAACCATATCAGAGAGGACACTATCCAAAATAACCATCAATGGCACACTGAGATCATTGTCTTCATCCATAACTACTGCCACTAACANATATTATACACGCACAAAAATTCCAGCAACAATGGAATACCACCAAAATTCCATCAATGATGGAGTTACAACAACAATTCCAGTGCAAGTAGTTAAGCGCCAGGGGAAAAAATGGAATTCCAGCAACAATTCCAACAAAATGGAGCTAAGAGCCAGCAAAAAAATGGAATTCCAGCAATAATGGAGTTCCAGCAACAATTCCGNCCAAGAAACCAGTGAGCAAGAGTGGCCAGGGAGGCGACTGAGCGTTGAGGGAGGCGACTGAGCGTTGAGGGAGGCGATTGAACGTTGAGGNTAAAATTGCTACAGTGGCTACAGAGATCCCGGCGTTCATTGAACAATGAAAAGGCCAAGTCAAGCCAAACCTAAGCGTTGCATTTAAAAAAAAAATGATTGGTCATATGATACATTGTTTTCTTTGTTTGAAAGAGAATGCTCTGCATCATATTCCATATGTTTTCCAAAAGTTAAGATTCCTCATTGCACAATGTATAAGTCAAGAAAAAACCAAACTAAAAAGTACCAAACTGAATTTTAAAAGAGCCCATGCCCAACACAGGCAACCAAATTCCGATCCCAACCACCACACCAAAAAAAAAACAAAAATAAGTTTCTATCAAAACCCAGCCTTCCCTAAATTAAGAATTTCAAAGCTTTGGCTTGTTCATGTTCATTGAACCATTTCTTTAATGGACAAAATTCAATCCCCACTTTAAAACAACCTACATCATATTTAGTTTCCAAAGTTTCAAGACCTAAAAAAGTACCGAACCAAAGGTAGTACAATGAATAAATAAAGTCTTCACCAGAAAAATCTCTGCTTACAAACAATGTTGTCACAGCTTGGATGACTCAAGGAAATATAAGGGTTATAATAAACTTACCGAAGCCGGAATTTGAGAAAGGTAGATTATGACAATGCAATGAATATGGTCCAAGAAACCAGTGAGCAAGAGTGGCCAGGGAGGCGACTGAGCGTTGAGGGAGGCGATTGAGCGTTGAGTGAACGAGTGGCTAGGGTTTGGTAGAAAGTTGGCTTTTATATGGGGGCCCAATACATGAGGGCATTTGTGTCATTTCACTAGCTTATACTGTCCTTTCACTTGTACCGGGCATATAATACCACCGGATAAGTGGTATTCATTAATACCATGTACAAGGCAATATGCCTATTGTTCATACCAGGTCGGTATTACGACCTGAAAAATAGTACTACCTATAAAATACAAAACAAACAGGGTATTAAGTGGGACTCACGTATTATTTCCCTAATACTACCTCCTTATATCACCCTTATCCTTGAAACAAACTAGCCCTTGAAGTTTGTAAATATATAATACTTAGATCATTTAAGTTTAAAATATTATGTNATAAAATCTCTCATAGATAGCTTGTGTGATACTGATGAACAACACTGCTTGTATGAAATAGTCTATCTGAATATTCATTTTAACTATCTTGCTCTCAAACTATTGCCTACATTTTATATTTTAAAATTTATNATTAAGTGGGACTCACGTATTATTTCCCTAATACTACCTCCTTATATCACCCTTATCGTTGAAACAAACTAGCCCTTGAAGTTTGTAAATATATAATACTTAGATCATTTAAGTTTAAAATATTATGTTTAGACAAAAATTACACTAATCAAAGATAAAATATCAAATATTTTAAATTTTACAACTAAAATTCATGTTCTATTGTATCATTTGTTGAAATAAAAATTTAATTTTTTCTTTAAAAATTTAATTAGTAAACAATTATATTTTCAATTGGAATAAAATTAAAATCAAAGANATCTAAGTGTTGAATGGAGCTTGAAGAAAAGCTTTATTTAATAATAAAAATTTAAACTTCTAAAAATTTTAAAAATAAAAAAGTTATGATTCTCAAACCCTCTCCTCACAAAATTAATTGTGATGTTAAAAAAATATGAATATGTGATGGGCCTAACAACAAATTTGATANTTGGAATAAAATTAAAATCAAAGAAGGGGTCTAAAGTCATTCATAATAGAATATGAATTTTAGATCCAGAATTCATGTTTTATTATGTCATTTATTGAAATAAAATCAAAAATAAAAATCTAGTTTTTTTTTTNTAAAGTCATTCATAATAGAATATGAATTTTAGATCCAGAATTCATGTTCTATTATGTCATTTATTGAAATAAAATCAAAAATAAAAATCTAGTTTTTTTAAAAAAATCATAGTTAGTATATAATTATACTATCTATTAGAACAAAACTAAAAAATTAAATAAGGGATCAAACTGTAATGGACACAACTTTTAGCTGTAATTTGGGTAGTTTGGTATTTTAATTTGATCGTTTAAATGACCAAATTAAATTCTAATAGACAATATAATTGTATACTGATTATGATTGTTTAAGAAAAAAATTAAATTTTTATTTTTGATTTTATTTCAATAAATGATACAATATAACATGAATTTTAATTGTAAAATTTATATATTTGATATTTTATCTTTGATTGAAGTATTTTTGATCGAAATATAATAATTCAAATTTAAGGGGTCTAAATAATATATGTTTTCAAATTTCAGGGGGTCTCAATATGATTTATTGACGGATATATTTTCAGCATACAAACTTTAAAGGGTCTGTGTGTAATATTTCAAATATCATGAGATCTAAGTGATTAAGTGACAAACCTATTTTTTTTTTATCTTTTTGTGGGACTTTTATTTTCTCATTTATGCCCAATGTTTTGAAAGTATAATGACAAAAATGTCCTTTAATATCTTCTTGTACTTGGCACATGACATTTTCTGTCACATTTTTTCACTTTTTTGAACGGAAGATAGGGATAAGAACCATAGTGAGTCAATATGTAAACATTGAAGATGAAATTGACGAAATTAAAAGTATAGGGATGAACATGCAACAAGTTGAAAACTTCAAGGACTATTGATGTAATTTATCCCCCAAAATAATGAAGTATTTGTGGAGTATTTTAATGGATAAATTATATTTTATAGCTTTAAACTATTACCTTTGTTTCACTTTGCGCCCTCAATTATAAAATTTTTCATATCACACCTTAAAGTATCAATTTTGTTTCATATTCCTTCAATAGATAACGGCTGCAAAATTTTTTGACGATAAGTGTACATTAGAGTGGTCTGTACTATCAATAAGTAACTATCGATCACACATATGCAAGTTAAAAATTAAGAAAAATACACATCCACCCTTTCTAAGTTCTAAATTTTTTTATTCTGATCGACCTTCTTTTTCTTTCCGACAACCATTTAGTTGCAAAAAAAGGTAAAATAAAGTAGTATTTGACATAGGGGTGTCAATCATGTCGAGTTAAACGGGTGACAGGTAAAAAACGTATAAATCCATACACGACACGTTTAATAAACGAGTAAAAAATCTCAACACGAACACAACCCGTTTAATAAACAGGTAACACAATACGACTCGTTTAACCCATTTAATTTTAAAAAAATTATATCAACAAATTTTAATACTCCATTTTTTTTTTACTATTAATTGCACTTACCTCAAAAAAGAGGAATTTTAAATCAAATCTCATAAAAATAAGACTTGAAGGCTTTAAAAAAAAAATGCAAAAGGCTATTGCTGTTTATAGGCAACTCACCCTCCCCATCTTCCCTCATTTTTCAATGTGGGACAAAAATAAAAGACATTGGCTAGCCTTTGTCTTTCAAGTGCTCTACAACTCCTCTCATTTGTCTTTGAAAAATAAGACTTGAAGGCTTTAAAAATAAAAGCAAGAGGTCATTGTCTTTTATAGGCAACTCAACCCTCCCCATCTCCTCNCCCCCCCCCAAATTCATCTACCTATCCACCATGCCTCGTACATTTCATTCGCCAACTGAGTCCTCCAAGCAGTCCGCGCAGTAGAGGTCTCAACACTATCAACTACATTGGTGTTGTCATCGTCCTCATTAAGAACATACTTGGGTACGTGGTCTTCCAATGGGTCAACTGACATCTCATTTTNAAAAATAAAAGCAAGAGGTCATTGTCTTTTATAAGCAACTCAACCCTCCCCATCTCCTCCCATTTTTTAATGTGGGATAAAAACAAAAGACATTTATTTGTCTTTGCCTTTGAAGTGATTTCCAACTCTTCTCTTTTATCTTTGAACTACTATTTTACTTTTTTTTTTATTGATTTATTTACTTCTTTTTTCTTGCTAATTTTTTAAAATAATTATTAATTTATTATTATATTAATTTGATTTAAACGGGTAAACGTGTGATAAACGGTTTGACAGGTCTCACCTGAACACGACCCGTTTATTAAACGTGTTTGGCGTGTCAATCCGTTTATCACTCAAACCCGTTAAGATCTCACCCAAACCCGTTTAATTCGTGTCAGTTAATCATGTCGTGTCAAATTTTGACAGCCCTAACTAGACAATTGGTAAGAAGATATTTGGGATGTTCCTCCCTCTTTTAACAAATTTTTAAGTTTATCATTATTTATTGGAATGGTATGAAATAAAATTGATACTTTAAAGTGTAATGTGAGAAATTTTATAGTTAAGGGTACAAATTAAAATAAAGATAATAATTCAAAGTGATAAAATGTAATTTACCCTATTTCAGTATGATAGTCGAACCCAAAATAATGAAGTATTAGTAGAGTATTTTAATTGGATATCTATAGCATAATGATCTTATTAAAGTCACGCCGACATAGCCCAAAACTGTACAAATTAATTACAAGTTGCATGGGACACTGGGTGGGGTCATTTTTAGAAGTTCCGGTGTGATTGAAGCCTTACGATTCCATTATGACAATACATTAGGGGGACCAATTAAATAAATTTTTAGTGGCAAAAAAATTGCCCCATGACTCACATGGCTCCATAGTGAAAACGACACCGTTCAGTGATTCATTGAATGGATAAAAATTCAATTTTTTTTACTCTATAGTTGGATTTTGGTTTTTATAACTATGATAGTTTGGCAGGATTGTATACATTCCATTAGAATACACAGTGAGATCTTAATTTTGTCTTTCATATAAGTACAATAAAATCTCTCATAGATAGCTTGTGTGATACTGATGAACAACACTGCTTGTATGAAGTAGTCTATCTGAATATTCATTTTAACTATCTTGCTCTCAAACTATTGCCTACATTTTATATTTTAAAATTTTATTTTTTTACACCTTTCACCCACCTTCTATCCATTAATTAATAGGAAGGTTAAAAAAATTGAAAAATTATCAAGGCTAAAAACTAAATATTTTTGAAAAAAATATTAGAAAAATGGTAACTAAGAGTAATTATATAATCTAAGTGTTGAATGGAGCTTGAAGAAAAGCTTTATTTAATAATAAAAATTTAAACGTCTAAAAATTTTAAAAATAAAAAAGTTATGATTCTCAAACCCTCTCCTCACAAAATTAATTGTGATGATAAAAAAATATGAATATGTGATGGGCCTAACAACAAATTTGATAATTGAACGATATTGTTTAGGCTCAACTTGTTTTAGGCTTGGCTCGGACTTGGCTCATGTTCTAAATGAACTGAGTTTGAACAATTTTTTATGCTCGTTTAAAAAAATGAGTTTGACAGTCATTTAAAAAAATGAGTTTGATGGTCATGTCCAATTCCTGCAAAAGTAAAATTCACCGTATTAGTTGTGCCTTAGCATTCTTCTTGTAAGAAGGTACTTAAAGGCTGCATGATCTGTGAAAATAATAATAGGAGAACCAATCAAGTAAGCAAGAAATTTATCCAAAGCAAACACTACAACTAGCAACTCTTTTTCCGTGGTGGAGTAATTCATTTGAGTACTATGTAGAGTTCTACTAGCATAATAAATGACAAAAGGCTTCCTCTCCTTTCGCTGTCCAAGAACAGCACCTACCGTAAAATCACTAGAATAACACATGATCTCAAAAGATAAAGTCCAATCAGGTGATTGTATTATGAGTGCTGAGGTACGTTTGCCAATTAGAATTTTAAAGGCCTCTTGACAAGCTTGTGTCCACTCAAATGAGACATTTTTAGCTAGGAGGTCACATAATGGTCTAGATATGGTGGAAAAATTATGTATGAACCTCCTATAACAGCCCGCATGACCAAAAAAGGATCTCACATCCTTTACTGTCCTAGGTGTAGGTAACTTAGAGATTAATTTAATCTTAGATTGATCAACCTCTATCACCCTAGAATAAATAATATGCCCTAAGACAATACCTGAAGGTACCATAAAGTGGCATTTCTCTTAATTCAAAACCAAATTCTTTTCCTCACAACGAGTCAACACTCTCTCTAAATTCAATAAGCATGCATCAAAAGAAGATCCAAAAATAGTTAAGTGATCCATAAAAATTTTCATACAATTTTCAATCTTGTCACCAAAAATGTTCATCATGCAACGTTGAAAAGTAGCATATGCATTATACAATCCAAATGACATTCTACGAAAAGCATAAGTACCAAAAGGACAAGTAAAAGTGATTTTTCCTGGTCTTCTAATACAATTTTAATTTGATAATAACCAGAATAACCATCCAAGAAATAATAGAAAGGATGATCAATCACACACTCAAGAATTTGATCAATAAAAGGGAGAGAAAAATGGTCTTTTCGGGTGGCAGCATTCAATTTTCTGTAATCAATGCACATCCGCCACCCAGTCACAAGTTTTGTAGCGACTAACTCTTCCAGGTTATTCTTCACTATAGTACCACATGACTTTTTAGGAACAATCTGCGTAGGACTTACCCATTTACTATCAATAATAGAATATATGATTCATGTATCTAATAGTTTCAACATTTCATTCTTCACCACTTCTTTTATAGTGGGATTAAACCTACACTGGGGGTCTCTACGAGGGCTAGTTCCTTCCTCCAAATTAATTTTATGAGAACAAGCCAGGGGACTAACACTTTTCATATCTGCAATGCTCCAACATAAGGTTGACTTATGCTCACTTAGGGTCCAAATTAATTTTTCACCTTAAAACTCAAACAATTCAGATAAGATAATAATAGGAAAAGTATCACCTAGACCAAAGAAAGCATGTTTTAAGCCCTTAGGCAGAGGCTTCAATTCAACTTTGGGTACTTCCACACTTGAAGGAATTTGTTTTTCACCTTTCTAAGACAACTTCTCAAACTTCGGTTATCATGCCCGAGTGCCATAGTCTTGAGTCCAATCAAAAATAGCACAAATATCAACTACATCAGATGGATCACTGATAGAATCAAACTCAGAATGAACAAGAAAATATTCAAGGGGATCAAAATCTTAAACTATAGAAGCTCCCATATCCAAGAGTGAGTCAATCATGTATGTCTGGTGGCTCTCGTTATCATCTTCTGGCTGTTTTGCAATATGAAAAATATTCACCTCGAGATTCATGTTTCCAAAAGACAGTTTCATGAGCCCATTCCTACAATTAATCAAAGCATTAGCAGTGGTAAGAAAAGGCCTACCTAAAATCAAAGAAATTTTAGACATAGTATCAATAACAGTGGTTGGTTTGATTTCTCCCAACCATAACTGAAAATAAATAGAATATGACATTAGATTTACGCTAGCTCCTAAATCTAGCAAAGCTTGCCCAAACTCATGATTTTTAATGCTGCACGCAATAGTTAGACAATCAGGATCCTTGTACTTGGAAGAAATCCGCTGCTCAATTAGAGCACTAATTTGCTTTGTCAGGAATGATGTCTTCTTCACATGGTGCTTCCTCTTAACTATACACAAATCCTTGAGAACTTTTGCATAAGTAGAAACTTGCTTAATCACATGCAAAAGAGGAAGATTGAATTTTACATGCCTTAGATTCTCTAGGATTTCATTATTAGGATCCAGAGTTCGCTTGCTTGATTTTAAAGCTTGAGAGAATGGTACCTTAACAATATTCTTTGTCACCTCAGGTTCCTTGGGCAGCTTAGCATCACTATTATCTTGATCCTTTTCCACATTCTCTAATTTGTTCGTTGTTGGGATGTGTAATGAATCACCACTTCGTGTCACAATGGCATTTACATCCTTCAAATTCTCCTACACCATGTGTTGACCATGGGGTGCGGACTGATCTTGAGAAGAGAATTTACCTCGCTCATTCACACTCAAGGAGCTCATCAATTTGGACACTTGACTCTTTTTCTCTTTGTTTTCTTTAACAACCTGCATAATCAATGATTCAAACTTTTGGTTAGTCTTACCCTGTGTCTCAATAAAAGCATGCAAAGTGTCTTCCAAAAGACTCCTAGAAGATGAAAGTGCATGATAAGGTGCAGGATATGATCTAGGGGGTTGTGCAGGTGGTTGATTTTCAAACTTTCAGCTAAAATTGGGGTGATTGCACCACCCCGGATTATAGGTATCAGAGTAAGGTCTAAAAGGTTTCTTGTACATACCTAAGGCATTACATTGTTCCTCATACATCTCTCTCATCTCAGCAAGCGCGAGACATTTTTGGGCAAGGTAATCTACCCCGCCACACACAAAACATGATCCAAAAGACTCTGCATGATTAGCCACGTGTTTTGGCTTTAAGTCCTTAGTCTTTAACATATCTAGCTCCCTAGTGAGCATTTTAACCTTAGCCTTTAGGTTATCCTCTTCCCTAAGATGATAAATTCCACCACCATTTGGGTTTCTTACAGGTCGTGACCGCTGTACTTTCAGTAGCACTAGGTCCAGTCCAAGTGTGAACTTTTTCAGCAAGTTCGTTGAGGTATTCTATGGCCTCATTAGGATCTTTTTGTAAGAACTCACCATTACACATCATCTCTACAAATTGACGCTCTCTAGGTATAAGTCCCTCATAAAAATAGCTCACTAAGCGCCAATTCTTATATCCATGGTAAGGACACACACTCAACAACTCCTTATATCTCTCCTAAAACTGATACAAAGTCTCACTATCTTTTTGTGCAAAGGTGGAGATTTGTCTTTTTAAAGCGTTGATCTTATGTTGGAGAAAATATTTATTAAAGAAGACC